ACACCACAGTGCTTGTACACCGCAGCTACCATGTGCAACACAGCGCTTGTGTACACCACGGTGCTTGCGTGCACCGCAACGCCTGTGCACGCCACAGCGCATGTCTACCCCACAGCATCCGCGTGCAACGCAACGCTGTTGTACACCACGGTGCCTGCGTGATAGGACAGGTAGAAGGAACATGTCGGTGAGGATCTGCTGCGGACAACTAGACGCCACGCCCGGAAAATGCTGATAATCGGATGCGACGTTCTTCCCTCCCCCCTCCTTGTCCGCCTCCACCATCTCCTCCTCCTCCTCCTCCTCCTTACCCCCTGTCGTGCGGGGTGGCGTCGCAGCGCACGTGCGCATCTCAGCGCTACAGCGCACGTGCGCATCTCAGCGCTACAGCGCACGTGCGCATCTCATCTCATCTTGAGTCGGTCCACTTGGTTCTCGGACGGCCAATTCAACTGGAGCCTCCTGGACGCAGATGGGAGGAGTTAGGGTGATGCGGGCGGACTCGGGAGGACTCGTAGATTCCAGCTTCTCTCCGTTGCCCATAAGAATTATTATCTATTGTCTTTTGTGGAATCCACAAGCGCTCCATTTTGTCATACAACTGTGGTGCTGTGTTGCACACGGTTGCTGTGGTGCACACGAGCGCCGTGGTGCACACGGGCACTGCAAGGCACGCAGGCATTGTGATGTACACTGGTGCTGTGTTGCACACGGCTGATGTGGTGTACGCAAGCGCTGTGGTGTGCACAAGACCTGATGTGCCCGCAGGCACGGTGGCACAAACTGGCGCTGTGTTGCACGCGGCTGCCGTGGTGTACATAGGCGGTGTGATGTACACAGGCGCTTTGGTGCACGCAGGCACTGTGGTGTACACAGGCGTTGTGGTGCAAATGACCACCTACATGCTGGCGCTACCCGTCCTCCGTCGTTCCTGAGCATTCCCAGACGGCGCTGGCGCGAAACGTGACGTCATCGACCCATTCCACCCCCCCTAGATGATTGCCGTCATCAGCCCGATATAAAAAGCAGGCTTCAGCCGCGTCCGCGCGCACGACGACTATGAGCGACGAGCGACAAGCCACGAGCGACGACGACGACGATGACGACGGCTGCGGACCACACTCCTATGCGGAGTCCTACGCGGACACCTGCGCGGATCCCAACTCGCACGGCGGCAGTGCCCGGAGCGCACTGGGGGAGGGGAGCGTTACGTCATAGGGGGGGGAGCGGGGGCCATGACGCCCGTCATACCCCAAGCAATAAAGAAACGGGCTCCACGGACATGGCGGTCGCCCGACGCAGGATTTCCGAGCCCTAGTAGACAAGGGAACCTGTCAGGCGGATCCACATCAGGAAGCAGTGACCGTTGTCGCGTAAACTTGCGGAACACCGAATAATGCGCGTAGTGCTCGACGCTGTCCTCGCCCTGGCCGCAGTGGAGAAGGCACGTGGCCGACCGCCGTGATGTGGTCCAGCCCCTGCATAGGGTGCGGAACGTCGCTGCGAAGATGCGCGGCGTCGTGGTGTTGGAGAGGTCCTTGAGGACGTCCACGGCACGTTGAACGCGGTGGCCAGGGAGCAAGGTAGCGCCCAATGGTCAAGGCGACGCCGGAGGTGACGGTACGCAGCCTCCGTGCGGTCCGGGACCAGCGCCTCATAGAACGTGTGCTGCCACTGTCGCCGTATAGTCTTCATCCCGAACCGTTCTCTGACAATCCCGGGGCACGTCGACAACACGGGGAAGTCCAAAACAACGAAAAACCTGTGGACCCGCTTTGCCTCAGGACCCGTGTCCCCAAGGCGAAGGAGGCAAGAAGGAGCGGGAACTTGGACGTCTGAACTGGACACGGAAGAAATTGGTCCGATGCCCAACATCAAATGTTGCCCGACACCGACAGCGGCCGCCAATTGCCAGGCGAACTTGTGTCTCAAATGAACCACAACCGCCGCGACGCCGAAAGCGAGTCCTGCTCAGAATGGGCAGGACCTGCTGTCGGTCTTCGTACCCATTCTTCCGTACCCATGTCGATCGTACCGAATCCTCCTCCCAGGTCCCCGTCGTCCTCCCCCCACGCCCTCCTCCTCCTCCTCCTCCTCCTCCTCCTCCTCCTCCTCCTCCTTCGCCCCGCGCTCTTCCTCCCAGGCCCTCCTCCTCCTTCTCCTCCTCCTCCTCCTGCTGGGCGTTGTGCCCGTTACTTCCGTACCCAGTTCGGCCCCCCCCCCCCCGAGGGGAAAGAGGGCCGGCCTCGCTGGGCCCGAAGGACCCAGGCCTCTGCCGGTGGGCCCCGCGGCAGTCCTCGGGGTGAAGGTCCTTCGGGTGCACAGGCGTGTAGCCCTGCCCCTCCGCCTGCGGCGATCCAGGGGCCGCATCGCTCCTCCTCCTCCTCCTCCTCCTCCTCCTCCTCCTCCTCCTCCTCCCTCCTCCTCCTCCTCCTCCTCCTCCCTCCTCCCACCCTCATCCTCCTCCTCCCTCCTCCTCCCGTTCCTCCTCCTCCTCCTCCTCCTCCTCATCCTCCCTCCTCCCTTCTCCCCCCTCCTCCTCCCTCTCCTCCTCCCTCCTCCCTCCTCCTCCTCCTCCTCTTCCTCCTCCTCCTCCTCCTCCTCCTCCTCCTCCTCCTCCTCTTCCTCCCTCCTCCTCCCTCCTCCCTTCTCCCTCCTCCCTCCTCCTCCTCCTCCTCCTCCTCCTCCTCCTCCTCCTCCTCCTCCTCCTCCTCCTCCTCCTCCGCCTCCTCCTGCCTAAGCGCCGCGCGCTCTCGTTCTTGAAACAATTGCATGGGCTTAATGGGTTGAGGGCGGGTCGTTTCCAAGATGTGGCTCTCGCCTCAGCGTCGCGCACATGCGTTCGAAACACTTGCAAAGAGTTTCACGGAATGAGGGCGGGTCGATTTCAATATGTGGTTCTCGCCTTAGCGCCGCGCACATTGTTCTTACACAGTTGCAACAGTTCCACTGATTCTTATGGTTACAGTAACAGAAATTACGTTTTGGAGCGATTCAATATTGTCAGGGCTCAACCGCTACGCTGATTCGCGGTGCTGAAGTCCCAGGAATCGCCAAGACGTGCTAGTCAGGTTAACTCGTGGCGTTGATATCCTGCAAATAATGTTTGGGCACGCTTCAGGATTTCCACGCGGTGGTCCCCCTGCGGGGGAATTCCCTCAGTGGAAATGAACCCCTGTGGAAAGGGAGCTTGGAGGGAGGGTGTATTCTAACATCGTTGATGAGTCTTGGGCATACACTGGTTCTCCTCCTCCTCCTCCTCCTCCTCCTCCTCCTCCTCACTCCCTCCTCCCTCCCCCTCCTCTCTCCCTCCTCCTCCCTCCCTGCTCCCTGCTCCCCGCTCCCCGTCCTCCTCCCCCTCCTGCTGCTGCCCTTCCTGCTCCCCGTCTTCCCGCCCCTGCTCCTGCTCCCTCCTCCTGCTCCTCCTCGCCCTCCTCCCCCTCCCCCTCCTCCTCCTCCCCCTCCTCCTCCTCCTCCTCCTCCTCCTCCTCCTCCTCCTCCTCCTCCTCCTCCTACTCCACATCCTGCTGCTCCTCTTCTGCCTCAAACGCACGCTCACGCTCCGCAGGTTCAGGTCGACCGACGGCCCTATCTGAACGAACAGAAACAACACCACGGCTAGGACTCAGAAAGACGTCGCGTCCTTCAAGGCAAGGGAAACTATGGAAGGCACTGGGATGAACGTAACATGTGGGACCGAGGTAGAACAAAGGAGCCAAGTGTCGGAGAGCTTTTGTCCAGCACTCCCTGGGAGGATCCCCTTCCAACATTTCCTCAGGTCTGACTTGGACGTGGGGAGCGGTCGACAATCCCCGCAGCTTGCTCGCCCTCGCCGAGGCCATGTACCCACACCGAGGCTTTGCCTGGCGCCCCGTCGGTTGCAACCCGTGGGCTCCTCGTGGGCGCCCCGTGCACTGGGCGGGTGTGCCGAGGTTCCCCCTGGAGCCCGGTCGGTTGCCGCCTGCAGGTGCCCGGTGGGCGCCCGCAAGGCTTCCAGCACACAGCTTGCACCACATAGCTTGACCCACATAGCCTGCATGGCAGACCTTGCGCTAAGTGGACTGCGCCACTGGGTTAACCAGCTTGCAGCAGACGTTTTGCAGCACGTACCTCCCTCATCCACAATTGAACAACTCAACATGTGGGGCCTGTGGGGCCCATTCTGGCATACAATGCTATCAGATGGTATCAGAGCGCTGGTCGGGGATCGTCTGACCCATCCAGCCCCGGGTCAATCAGGCCTTACAGAATCCTGCAAGATCCTGCAAGATCCTGCACCCAGGCCCAGGCCCGGGTCACTGCGAAGGATCCTGCAGGATCCTGCACCCAAACCCGGGTCAATGCGACCCTGGCCGTGCAGGATCCTGCAAGATCGGGCGCTCTGGCTGACCCCCGCTCGCATGGACCCCCCCCCCGTCTCAAGGCTCCCGAGAGTCGCGCTTTGGCGTTGTGGGGGCCCGGTGAGGGGCTCCCGGAGGAGCCCTCAGACGGCCACCAGAGGCCCTCCGTCCGTCGTGAGTGTCCCGCGACGCCGCGAGGGGGAAAGGGGGGCCTGGAGAGGAGCAAGCAGGACCCAGAGCTCCGACGCTCCCCCCCAAAATACAGTTTTCGGCCTCTGTGACGGCCCTCGCCGGGCCTCGGGAGTATCAAAAAACGATTCAAGACGACAAACGGGCCCTGGTGAAGTGGTCTAGACCTCCGGGGCCCACGCATCGAACAAATTGGCGCAGCCGGATGTCTGGGGAGAAGCACGGCCGGACCCAGGACAGAAGAACACCCTTCAAGAACATGAGAACCTCCGCTGGTCAAGACACCCCAGACCATAAGATCACTCGAGGGTGCCCTCCCACAGGTTGCACAAGCGCATCCAACAAGCACGAAGAACATCCGGGCACCTTCCCCGAGCCGGCCTCGATCCTGTGCCTCGGCCCGACCGTGCCACCGGGAGGCGAGCACGCACGAGGCGCGCAGAAGGAGACGGCCGAGACAGGGCGGCGCGCCCCGCTGGTGCACTTGCGGATGGCGTAGCCTCGCGCGCAGCGGGTCGAGATGGAGGCACACGGCAGAGAGCTGCAGCGAGGAGCTGCGGGGAGGGGGCGGGGGGGGGGGGAGGGAGAGATGAAGAGGACTCGGCGATCGCCGAGGGGGGGGAGTGAGAAGGAGCGGGCCTTCTCAGAAGGCGCTGAACGCCTACGGCCTTCTGAGGAGCTCCCTGGGCCTTCCCTGAAGACAGGAATGGCGCCTCAGAGGCTCAGAGGGGCTCCCCGGAAGCCCCGCCACCCTTCCGAGAAGGCCTGCACCCGCTCGCTGCCCCTCCCCCCCTGGGCGTGCCGCCAAGGGAACTGCACTTTCCTGAGCATCGTTTATCCGATCCCCATCCCCAGCGGCGTGGCCTGGGCCCCACGGGCCGATTTACCCCCCTATAGATGGGGATAGAGGCCGTTCCCTCCGGGTTTCTGGGGGTGCATCCCCAACTGGGGGGTAATTTGGTGGGGGTCTCGAGGGGGATGGGGGTGGGGATGGGGATCGGAGAAACGATACTGATTTCCGGTGAGCTCCTCGACGCTGTCGGCCCCCAGGCCCCAGGGTGCTCTCCAGCAAGCGCGCCCTGCCGGCGGCTCCGAGGGGAGCCGGAGTCGTCCCTGCGGCCGCCGGGGCCCCGAGCTGTGGCCCCGGCGGCCGGCCAGAGGCTGATGGACGGGGACGAGGACCTCCACATAGGAGGAGGAGCGAGGAGGAGGAGGAGGAGGAGGAGGAGGAGCAGGAGGGGGAGGAGGAGAAGGAAGAGGAGGGGGAGGAGGAGGAGGAGGAGGAGGAGGAGAAGGGGGAGGAGGGGGAGGAGGAAATAGTGAAGCCCGAATCTCGCACATCCTCAGCAGAAGAGCGTTCGCGCACATCTAGTCATCGCTGCCTCTCCCTCGTGAGATGGATTTGTTGCGCCTCGCGTATTATCAAATCCTACCCCGCATCCAGACGGTTCGTGCGCACGCAATGGTGGAGTGGATGACACGGGAGAGGGGGATGAAGAGGACGACTTTCAAATTACTTTCTTTCGATTGGGAGATCATTCAGTCAACCCGTATTATGAGGATGCACGGTGAGGATGCAAGGACCTTGGAGGGCCACGATAACGTTTTTCGAACGAGGCTGGCCAGCGAACGTCGCTAATGATTCACCGAGGAGGCAAGGATGCAAGGGTACCCTTGGGAAGGTTGCCCATCCTTCCTATGCGGGTCGACTGTAGCTGGCAGATCCATTATACATGTAACCTCCTTGCCTTTTGCGGCACTGTGGTGGTGGGCTCAGAACAGATCCCCCCAGCCAAAGAAGCTGTTCCTGGAAAAACGAAGCAGTCGGCTTTGGAACGGTGGCCGCAAAAACCATACACACATCTTGTCACGATGGTTCGATTTCCTGAGGGACGTCGCCGAAATCCTCCCACCGATCTGCCAACTGAATGCTGGACCTGGAAGCAATTCAGTGGGTTTCGTGGGGACTGGAGGGATGAGTACAAACAAGGCAGACACACAAACGTGCAGCTTCGCTAGATCCACCGGAACACCAGTCTTGTGAAATCCATTCCCTGACTACAAGGGTGGGGGGAGGATTGTACGACGACGACGAGGAGAAGGATGAGGATGAGGAGGAGGAGGAGGGAGGAGGAGAGGAGGAGGAGGAGGAGGAGGAGGAGGAGGGAGGAGGAGGAGGAAAGAGGAGGAGGAGGAGGCGGAGGAGAGAGGAAGAGGATGAGGAGGAGGAGGAGGGGGGAGGAGGAGGAGGAGGAGGGAGGAGGAGGAGGAGGGAGGAGGAGGAGGAGGAGGAGAGGAGGGGGAGGAGGAGAGAGAGAGAGAGAGAGAAAGAGGAGGAGGAGCAGGAGGAGGAGCAGGAGGAGGAGCAGGAGGAGGAGCAGGAGGAGGAGGAGGAGGAGGAGGAGGAGGAGGAGGAGGAGGATACAGTCATCGCGCTACATAAGGCACGAATGGGTTCTTCTGGCCACCGCGGGCCTCGGCCACGAGCAGATCCCCGACCTAGATCTTGGGATCGGCCCGAAGACCAACGCCTCCCCTGACCCCACAGTTTGTTTTCCTTTCTTTATTTCGGCGTCTTGACTGCAGGGAGGGAGGAAGAGGGGATGAGGAGGCGGAGGCGAAGGACGGGCAAGAAGAGAGCCCCCCCCGACCCCCAAAGGTTTTTTGTGCAGCGTCTTGACTGCAGGGGGGATCGGGGAGACGTAAGATTCGGATGCGGGGTGCTCGGGTTTGCCTGACGGGGCCATCATAAAACCGACGAGACCTGAGCTGGAATTCGACGCGAACTCCCGCTGAAGACATCCCACGGGACCGTCAAAATCCAGGACGCGCTTGTCAAAAAACGTCGGCAAACCCGAGTTCGGGCTTACTCGAGTCTTACGTTTTCCCCGAAGGGAGGAAGAGGGGGCTGAGGAGTCGGAGGCGAAGGACGGGCAAGAAGGGGGCTCCCAACTTCCGCTCCCGCTTCCAGGGCCCAGGCACCTGTGCCAGTCTCAGGCCCGACGTCGCATACGCACGACAGGAACTCTTGCTGTAAGAACTCAAAAAGAACACCATTCGGCGACCGTGAGCTTCGTGAGCAAACAAGCGCGTTGCACTACTGCAAAGTAGCTGCTCGCAACTGGCCTGGATCCATGGCGTCGCAGCAAACAGGCTGCATTGAATCGAGGCGCACGTTTGTGTTTAGGTCGTTTGCGGGTAGGCACATTGCGAGTAGCGGAACACGCTCGGTGAGTGAGGTGGCCAGAGACTCTGCGGGCCCACCGGGAGATGAGAAGTTATCGCGGAGCACCTGTTGGCAGGCCTGCTTCTAATCTGGCGTGCCCACTGCCCTCTGCGCCCCCCCCTCTTCCCTCCTGGCGTAGGCTCGTTTCGCTCGATTCGCTCGAAAGGAGCCCCGGCGAACCAAGTCGGGCGAACCGCGCCCGGGCGAACCGAAACCGGGCGAACCGAACTGGGCGAATCGAGTCGGGCGACCTGAGACTCTGGCGACCGAGCCCCGGCGAAGCGAGCCCCGGCGAAGCGAGCCCCAGCGAAATGAGCCCCGGCGAACCGAGACTCTAGCGAACCGAGACTCCGGCGGACCGAATTCGCGCCTCCTCTCCCACCTGGCTCCCCTCGCTCTCCCGCAGTTCGCCCCGGGAGCGGCTCGAGAGGCCGCCACGGCGGCCCAGAAGACGATATCGGGGCGACGTCCTGGGGAGAGGCCTCCGACGGCAGGGGGAGGGGGGAAGGCTTCTTAGGAGGGTGCTCCTTAGAAGGGGTGGGCCCAATATCTACAGATAAGGCCCGCGCTTTCGGGGCGCTTCTCAGAAGCCCTTCCACCTCCCCCTACCCCCCTCTGCGCATGGCCGATCCATACACCTCACCCCAAACAGAGCCCCGCGGGTCCACCACGGTCAAATGATTGAAAACACACTCAGGCTGGAGCAATAGGGGGAACACAAATGGGGGGACGGCAACAAGTGCAATAGATCATTGCGGCGGAGGTGCCGTCGGCCTCAGCACGCCTAGCATCAAGCAAGATCGCTCTGCCGCTCGCACACGTCGCGCCGGTGCAGTCGGCCGCGTTGGCGCCTCGTGCTAGGCGTCAGCCCGAAACTTCTGGGCCGCATGTACAAACGCCCGACAACTCGAGAAGAAAATGCATCGATCATGCGCGCGTGCAGCCTGCGACCACTGCTGTGAGCTTCGCGGGTTGACCATGAATCCCCGAGCCTTCGGCTCAAGATGGCTCCACGAGGGCTTCGGACGAGCCAGCGAGAGCACGACAAAATGCCACGACGGGTCCAAAAGGGCGACAAAACCAAAGCCCAACCTCGCCGTCAATACGTTGGAAATTGGCGCTCAATCTCCGGCATTCTCCCGCCCGCCGCAATGGCCGGCATTTTTTGGGGGTCCACCTACAGACGTCAGTCAGCCAGACGCGCGAGGACAATGCAAAAACGAAGGCGCGCTGTGCCAGCCAGCCGGCCAGATATAAAGGGGCCCCACGACACACAAATAAATACACACAAATACAAGGATTCCCCATATTTTCCCATATTTTCTGGGTTTCTGTCTCCCCCCCCCACTTCCCATATGTTTTCCAATATTTTCTGGAGGATCGACGAATAATTGTGTCTGTGTGTTTTTTCCCCTCCTGAAGATAGCCCTCGGCATCTGTACCTGCGGGCCTCCAAAAGACTTCAGGGCACGTGCAAGCCTCCACATCGGCGGGTGGAGACCACGCATGAGCCTCTCCCTCAAGGTGTGGCGTAGGACTACCAGTCTATTGGGCGAAGGATTGCAAAAAACCAAGGATTGCAAAAAAACCCAGGATTGCAAAAAGGATTGCAAAAAAACGAAGGATTGCACTTCGAGCAAGCCACTGAAAACAAAAGGTGCCGACGACTCGTGAAGCGGAGGGTACCGCTGAGAAGAGCAGCAGGCAACTATAAACGACGTCCACAACAAGGCCCGTGCGCGGCGCGGCGGCGGCCGGGAAGGCCCCGCCATGCGTCGCGCGCGCGGGGAAACGAGCTGGAGGGGGTTGGGGCAAGGGGATCATCATCATTGTCATCATTGTCATCATTGTCTAAGCCGGAATAAACGGGGTCAGGTGGGCTTATGCTGGAATAGGCTGGTTTTCGACCATGCGAGTTGCATCCTAAACAAGCGGGAAGTAGGTCGGTCTGCATGCACGTTGAAAGCCTGCGCGCCAGAAACTCGGTGCGCATTGACACGCGGACCCCGACACCCCGGCCATGCGATTGCGGAGAACGGCAAATCAAGAATGCGACAAGACTGAGCAACCGGACGCGAGCTGGAAAAAAACAGTTTCGGACCACACGAGTTGCATCCTAATGAGGAACGGGGGAGTAGAAGATCGATCTGCATGTCAAAGCCTGCGCGCCAGAAACTCGGTGCACGTTGACACTCTGATCCCGACACCACGGCGATCCCGGAGAAGAAGCTGCGGATCAGGAATGCGACAAGACTGAACAACTGGACGCGAGCTGGAAAAACAGTCACATCAACCAAAGAAGCCGCACTGTACACCGCCGCTAGATCCGCCAGTGAAACGCCACATCGCCGACAGATAGACGAGAGCCCCCCAAGGGATGCGATGGCTGCGCCGAAGCCTCCTCCTCCTCCTCCTCCTCCTCCTCCATCTCCACCTCTCTTCACTCTTCACTAGGCCTGCGTCTCCATGTTTCGAGTGGCTGGGATTGGACGCCTTTCCCACGGCTCTGAAACGACAGGCGTCGACTCCTAGGCCGGGGCTATGCTCGTTTGCGACAAACGCCGACTCAGGACGTTGTCTTCACCAAACCGTCTTGAGAGTCTCCCGCGAACTTCCTGGACGCCAGCCTCTTGCGCATTGACCAGGAGTATCATGTGGATGAAGTAGGCCAAGATGGCGCATGTAATCATTGCCAAAAGCAAAGCTGTAGGGGCCATCATAAAAATGACGAGACCAAATTTGAAATTTGACGCGAACTCCCGCTACAAACATCCCACGACACCTGGACCGTCAAAACCCAAGACTCGCTCGTCAAAAAACGTCGGCAAACCCGAGTTCCGGCTTACTCGAGTCTTACGTTCCCCCGATTAGAAAGGGTGGCCACAAACACGGGCTGGCTTTATTGACCACCTTGGGTTCAAAATCTTGCTGCACCCTCGGGCCCCCAGAAGGTATGCACAGTGTTCGAGAATGGTAGTGTCCAGCTAGTCGGTGGCCTCGGCGTTGCGCACTGCTGCGCACGAGGCGCTGCAGTGATGAAACAAGAAGCGCAAGCTCAAACCTGCAGGGAGGAGGAATGGGACAAGCCAAGGCGACGAAGGGGCTATAGGTATGGGTCCGACTGATCGGACCCCGACGAGGGGGACTCCCGTTCGAGCGGGGGGGCCCAGCTGACAACGCACACCCATCGCCCCCCCCCCCCGAAATTTCACCCCGAGAAATCTGGGGGTCGCGTAAGAATTGGTGCCAGCTGTCAAATATGCTGTGCCAGCCTGGACGCTCGCAAGAGTTGAGTGCGATAACTTGCCGCACATGTGACACCCCCCCGCCCACCGAAGACAGAGGCCGAAGGGTGGAGGGAGAGAGGTCGGTGTTCCTCTGTTCCTCAGTGCGCCCGGATCGGGGCGCTGGCGCCGCTCGCGATTGGAACCTGCGTCGAGACAGCAAGGACTGCTGGAACGCTGCCCTGCGAACGTGGCCGAAATTCCACGGCAACGGCCACGGGCTCGCGCGCCCAGAAGCGGAAGTCAGACAGCTAGGAGTGACACGGGGGACCTTCCGCCTCGGCAGCGCTCGCAGGACGGCCCAACTGCTATCCCAGCGGCCACGCGGCCAGGACAAACATTATCACCATGTGCCCTCCCCCCCCCTGGCCCTGGTAGCGGAACTTTTGAACCCTGTCCCAGGACAGACCAGCCATTCTGGTACCGACGACCCCCTCCAGAATCGTTTCCCTGGGGAGGCGCCCCTTGACCTGCCACACTTCGGGCGCGCCCCTCGCTGACTGAGCGGAGGAGGGGCCAGTGGACGTTTCAGCACCAAGGCTGTTCTGTGACCATGGTCGAGGGGGCGGCGGGGGGGAGCACAACGTGACGCCCCCCCCCGCCCCCGACTGTGACAGACCATGGTGCCGAACGCACTGCGGCAATACTGAGGGGGGGGGGGGGGGCAATACTGCCGGGGACGTACTGGGGGGGGGGGGGCATGGGGGGGTAGCGTTACATTGCGGGGGGAAGGGGGAGCATACCGCACTCCAAACACCAGAAGGCCGAATTCTGCCGCCCCCCGCACGGCAAGGTTGAGCAGCCATGACCCGTGATGTCGTGACGACTTATCTCAGGGGGTTACAGCGTAAACTGATGAACACTGCCTGGGGGGGCCGTGCCAAGTGCGCGACCGTCGTGGGCTGTGCCTGCAACCGATACCAACATACTTGATTAGAGGTCCCCGAAAGCGTGGAAGTCACAAATAATGTGCGATACTGGAAGTGAGAGCACCCTCGGAATGGACCCCTCGCTCCGAATGTGAACCAGTCAGCCGACTGCGCAACGGGCATCGGATTGGACGAGAACTGTTTCACGAACTGCTTTCCACTGACGGACTTAAAACGCCGTGGAGTGAAGAAAAGCGGAAACGGGGGGACGCTCGTCTAGGCAATCGGCCAACTTTTGAGTTAGGGTGTGTTCTCTGGCATGCATGCCCCAAGAATGCTTTGCGCCGCTGGACCGAAATGCGCGTCCTAACCAGAATTCCTCTACCCAACGAGCGGAACAAAAACGCCAGTTTCAGAG